TTCCTCTAGGTTCCTTTGAATCCGCCGCACACACACACACACACGTTTCGATGTTCGGCCATTGTGGTCTTTCAACTGTGCATACAGAGTAATGCTAACAGGACGGTTTATGTGGTTCTGATACAAGGAGACACACTGACATAGACGTTTGAGTACAAATCAAGGTCACTCGCAGTACGTGTGGCACTCGGGTCGAACACTAGGTCCACGTGGACTGTGAAGCTCAGTGAGATTGCAAAGCACCACAATTTTTCGTACCGGACGATACGAACGTGTTCCCATGCTTTTGAGTTACGGTTACGGTGTAGATATTGGAACTTAGTTAGGGAAATTCCTCAAACGCATGGTGACCTGCATTCACGCGTTTGGTTTTTGTGGCTGTCGTCAGGCTCGGCCTTGACACCCGCGGAATGTCAGCACCAATGCACCTTAATCATGTAGGCCCACAGTTCTGCATGATACACTACGATCCTAATGAGAGAACATTAATCCTCATGGACCATAATAATGCGGACGTGTATGACTTCGGTTTGGAGGTAAGATTTACAGCCAAAGTTTTCACGCTACGAGCGGTTACGCGTCGAATAGTAAGCGTGCAATAAATAACGATTTGCTGACAATGTCGAACAATACCTGCGTTCCATCTGGCTCAACACTGACGTCTTTTTGGGTCCACGCAACTTGGCATAAATTGATTCGGTCCATCCATCCGTCACGACGCACAAAACACTGGGTTTGAGCGTCGTAGTAATTCTGCACCATTCTCGGCGATTGAGAGCACCACAGGCATAACCTTGCGCTGGACTAAAAGTATGTCGCGACTAGACCTACGAACGAGATCGTAGTAGCATGTGCGGCGGAGAGAGAGAGCACTGAGCAATCCAATATATATATATATATATATATATATATATATATATATATATATATGCTGCAGCCTTTATAATAGGCATCGAGCCATCTATAAGCCATGGAATGAATTTGTATAACAAACCCAAATTTTTAAAAAAGAAAAATACACAAAGCGATTTTTCTTGTTCATACGCGGTTTTGTCTATCATTTGTCAATTTAGAGATCTCGGTGTTTAACATTAGGATCAATGCAAAGGCTCATGCATGCCTTCTATTACCCGGGATTACGCGCCGTGTCTTCAAGAGTCTCCAACCAGCAATGTTTTTCATCTCTGACTCCCCAGCCCGGGGCCGACAGGGCTAGACTGGGAGTCAGCGCCTTGACGTTCTGTCGCCATGTGGAAGGTTGGGCACCGCGTGATCTCTTCCAGCGCGGTTCTGCGTGCAGTGACAAACGCTCGCACGGCAAGCGTAGGAAGTGACCCAGCCACTTCAGTTGGCACAGCGATATTAGCTTGTATAAGCTAGGACTCGACGTCTGATATCGATGTTGCTAACGTGATGTTCCCAGTACACACGACCTATCTTCCGTAAACAGCCGTTGTAAAAGGCCGAAATCCGATGCGTCATTTACACGGATCAGCCAGGACTCGCTTCCGTACAATACGACCGCGTGAACACAGGCATTGTATACCCTGCACTTTACCAAGGATGAGGCGTCACGACGACATCAGATGCATCAGGTCAGCGAAAGCTGATCGGGCTTTGGCAATACGGCGAGAAATCTCCCCTCTAGTGCCATCAGAAGAAACACAGCTCCCAAAGCAGATGAAGCTGTCTACTTGTTCAAGCTGCACGCCTTCAAGAATCAGCACGGGGGCTGGAGGATGCCACTCCTGAGGTAGGACATTGCATGATCATGCCATATTTGGTAGCTTCAATCACCAAGCGGTTTAGAATGACCTGCATAATCTGAGTCATCACCGAGCAAGGCGATGTCATCAGCATAGTTCAAGTCAGTCGCGCGGTTGCCTGGAAGAAGCTCTACGCCAGAACCCTGGAGACCTTCCAGAGTGCTTCTTAAGACATCTTCAATCGCAAAGTTGAAGGGAAACGGAGATATGGGGGCATTCCTGTCGCACACCGGTAGTGACTGCGAAAAGTAAAGAGTTTACCTTAAGCCCTCACTTTACCACACATTACGGTATAAAGCTCGAAGTATGGCGATATACTTCTCGGGAAGCCCATTCCTCTGCTGACAACGCCATAGAGCAGGCGGAGCGTAAACATGTTGTCCACACACCCACGACCGGGGTGGAAACTAGTTTGTTCCTCCCGGGAGTGTTGTTCTATAATCGTTGTTAGCCCGAGCAGTAGAATCGATGTTAGCAATTCGGATGCGACGGATATTAGACTGATTTCCTTGTGATTGGCGCATGAGATAAGATCATCCTTTTTGAAGATTGGTATAATGATCGACTCGTCTTAAGAGAATGGAACCTTTATTTCACATCACATCTGCGGGAACAGAGCTGATAACTGGCTGACAATCGTCTCTCCACCCTATTTGAACAGTTTCCTTGGAAGTCGGTATGAGCCAGCAGCTTTGAATCGCTTCAAGTGACGAAGCTCAAGACAGACCTCCACTTTGGTAGTTGGTTCCAGTAAAATGTTCCAAGGCGCGCAATTTGGCCTGCTTGTTTGACGGGAGGAAGCAGAAGGCCAAGTTGATTGAGAGTGGAAGTGCCTGGCTCAGCGTTCCATACACCTACGCAAATTAGGGATTGTTGATCCACCAAACTCGCATAGAGCTTCACTGACGCCAAGTGTTCTGTGGCTAGTGATCCGAAGGATTTGGAAAAGCTTGCGAAAATTTCCAGCTAGCTACTGTCTCCATCTGCGAAGCGCGCTGAGACCACCAAGTTGCGCGATCGTTACGCAGGCTTTGCTTGAATGGTTGGCTGATGTTGCGGCGGACTTCATCGCAGCTTGAATCAGCTGTGATTGCTTGGCGACCGTCAAACAATTTTAAAGAGGGAGCAAAGATCCAGCCTGTCATAGGACGCCCAGTAATTCCACAATATGATTGACCGAGAGAAAGCCGTACCTTCTGCAAGAAATTCCAGTGATATTTGACATCTGTAGGTGGGGCGACCGCATCTGATTAGGAGCATGTCGGCCGGTGGCCGAAAGAATTGCATGCCTGGCTTGCAATCCTTAGGTTACCGGTTAGAATCCGCATAGGGGCGGGCGTCCTCGCGGGGTGTACTCAGCCCACGCGCGACTGATGGTGGTCGCGAAACGTCAGCACAATGTGCCGGCGTACTGATAAGTTGAGTAGATGGGTTAGCTAGCCTGTTGGTATCAAGCGTACGGTGCTTTGGTTTCGATAAACCACCACAGCGCATACAAATGTCAACCCTGACTAGTTCGTGATCTGAGTCGAGTTAGGTTGATCAAATTAATCTGTAATCCCGTGCACTGCGCCATCATCTGAAGCTGACTGCAATGTGATCAAGTTGTGACCACGCTTGTGTTGGCGATGCCGGACGCCAATTGGCGGTGCGTATTCTCAAATGCCTGAAGTCCGTGCTCACGAGAAAGAGCCGGTTGTCCTCACATAAAGTGAGAGGCGTATCTCCGTTTTCAGAGCGACTCATCAAGAGCATGACGGCTATCAAGATGACGTTCGCATGGCAGCAAGTGACCTACCCGTGCATTGAACTCTCAGGCAAGCGCAACAACATCGGGTTTTCCGACTTAACTCAAAAGCTGGTGGAGTTCGCGATAGAAGTCCTCCTTAACTGATGCCCAACTGCAGTCGATTGGAGCGTAGGCTGAGAACAAAAATTGCGCCTCTCTATACGGTGCCTATTGATCTTGCATGAACCTTGAAGTTGAACCGCGCGCAAACGGCTGTTAATCGAAAACCAATCGAACAGCGAAGACTCAGCTTTGTCATTCACTGCAATGACTACATCAGCCAGGCCAGCTACAGCATCTTCTGTCACTAGACAAATGTAGAGAATATTTAGTCCTGAGATCAGCATGGGACGGCAACTTAACTGCGGTGCTGGAGTCCTGTAACCGAGTCTCGGAGAGAACAGATATTAGTAGCGAGGAACTGCAATATGCGCGCTAGGCCGGCTTGTTGTCCGATCTGCATAAGGTTCTAACGTTGAAGGCCGCCAGTCGAAATGGAGGACAAAGAAAAGCCACTGGTCGGACTCTTTGGGCATGGGCGAGACTGTCAGCAGAGATTGATTCAGAGGAATTATTGATGAATATAGAATTGGCGTTTGATGGAGGTGCTTAAGCAGTCAGGAATTCAGGAGCGTAAGTGAACGACATAATGGAAATAAATGTGAAATCCTTGGTTCTGTCAACGGACAAGATACTACCCGGTTGTCCAAACCGTAGCAAGGAGTTGCCCTAGGGATCACCACTCCGAGCCTTTGATTGAGAAACCTACCCGCAAGTCACCGGTGCGAATTCAGGGAACCGCGCCCGTTAGGAGCCGGCGACAGATTACTCAGTTCATACGCCTTTCGTTTGGACGCTTGCTGAACAGGGATCTAATTCTCCCCACAGTTTCATCATCGGGTCGCTGGATTTACAGTGCTGCACCAGAGAGAAGCAGCTACGTTATTTAATGGATAGTCACATTCGCCATCGGGTTAACATAGTGAATAACGTTGACTAATGAACTATCAGACGATATGCTTTTTTTGCAAGGCTAGCGAGGTCAGAGGTCACGCGAATTTGACAAGAAAAGAGAATGCTTGATATAGACAAAAGCAGAGGAAACGCTCGAAACTGGCTTTTCTGGGCATATGATTCTGTCCGGCTGCGCACTCCGAGGGGTTTTTACTTGAGGATGCTTGACTCTAGTGTCTGACTCAAAAGTCTAGCCCACAAACCAAGGTCTTTCCCTGCTAAATTTTGTCCTCTGCACCTAGCTGTTTACATTCCTCTTCAGTCACGTTTTTCTTTCCACTTTCATCCCTACCGCTCTTTACCACTACAATTATTTCAATGCTTATCTCTGGGTATCTGGATCTACGAAAATCTGAACTACTCACTTAATCAGCCATCGCAGTTGCATGGTAATTCGTCACGAATGTTCCCTTTATTTGCATTTCGTACAGCCCGTGATTCGACATCCCATCCACCCATCCACCTGGCTCCAACAGGAATGGTTCGAATGTCAACTTGGTATGGACCACAAAGCATGCGTGCGCCTTGACAATACCGGGTTTTCCTACTGTCGCACTTATCCCCTCCGGTTGTTAAGTGTTCCCTTCCAACAATCGGTACGTTTTGCTGACTGCACCCAGAATGACTGTCTTTTAAACCATGTCATCTTTTGCTAACCGTGGATCGCATTTTCTGCGTACTCCGGACTATCTATTCGAGTAGAGTTGCATTCCATAGCTTTTGCAATGATATTAGTATCCACACAAGGTTTATGATACAGTGAATTATGTGGCATTCGATCAGTCAGTGTACCAAATAGGTCATGGAACGCTCACATGGTTCTCAAGTATTGGTTAACTACGCCACTTTTCTGGTCTAATTGGGCTGGAAATTGGAAGACGCGGTTATATAACGCACCCTCGCTACAGATGGCTTACCTCACTGTTCTGTTTCGTTACATTTCGTCAGGCGCGGATAACATGGTTAACCAATAGGAACATAGCTTCCATCGTTGAATCACTAAGCCATTTGTTTACTAACCGATTATTGTTGCTGGTACCTCATAGCCACAACTTATTGTGTCAGGTAGTGCTAATATCCGTTCTTATCTTTTCGGGAACCGTCATTTGTGCGCATTTCAGTTATCCAATGCAGAGCTGGAGCTCCTTACCCTTCACTTTATCCTCAATGATTTACACCTCTTGGGATGAGCAGAAGCATCCGTAGTACACGAACAAATTGCTGTCGTATACACACATGCATTCATCCTCCGCTGGTATGGATATTTGCAACATATCGGGAGCAAGGTTGACGCCCAGCGCCGCCACTTAACTACTAGTTTTAGCCCCTTATCAAGCGATGGAATACACGCTGTCGACGTGTCTCAAAAGGATGGAATGGCTGTCTAATGCTTTTCTGGATGTGTGTTGCGTGCCTGGTTTTCTCAGTCGCGTTAAAGAAAAACGATACACCAAATCAGCACTCGAACGCTCCACTCTAGGTTCCGGTGTTACAATCAAAACAGTTGTGTTTTAAGAGCTGGGTGGTAATGGCCGAGTCTACAATCTGGCCGGCCAACAGTTACACTCATCGCCGTCCGTGAAAGATCTCGGTGTACTCTCGCGCTGCGATTTGAAATCCGTTGAAAACACGAACAGGCTTTACCAAAACGGACTACGCATGCTCTGGGCGCTCAAACGCAGCCTCTTCTTTTCTATCATTAGACCACTGCTAGGGTACAGCTCACTCGCCTACTGTCTGCTCACCCGGGTCGAGATGCAAGGGATTGATAGCGTACAGCATGCTGCCACAAGGATGATTCCCGATTTACGAGGTGTATAATATGAAGACCGGTGCAAAATACTAAGGTTGACCTCATCATAATTCACCGGGTATTACATCTGGGTGATTACCCCATGTTAAGGCCGCTGCTTCATCTGCGCACACCAAGCAGCACACGGGGACACCAGTACAAGCTTGACGTACAGGATTTGAAGCGGGTTGCTCACCAACTCTGCTTCGAGCGGAGGGTGGTGAATATTTGGAACAACCTTCCTGTAGATATAGCCGAAGCAAAGTCGGTATCGTAGTTTTAGAAACTCCTGGACTCGCACTTTGCGGACTTGAGATTACGGGAGTAAGCACCACTATATTAGGTAAATTTGCTTAAAAGATATTAAATGTAGCTACACAAAGGCATCTCGACTTGCTGCATTTTATCAGTATTCGATTGATTGCTTGCAGTACGCGAGTCTCGCTCGCTCCAGCTTCGTGATTTTTGCCGCCTTTGATCGAGCACACTGACGCAGAGACACTGCTTGGTTGTGAGAGCGTGAGGCTGTCCGTTCCGCGATTGCGCACACTCATGAGGGCCCGAGGCTGCTCGCTCTACTTTCTCCAACACGACGGCCTACTGTGACGACTCTCCTTCGAAATTCCGGCAGACGTCAATACCCTGCTCACATCTTCCTCACCGCTACCGTTCATCCTTACATTAAGTTCTGTTCTACTTGTTTGAGCATGTCATTACAAATTTGGGAGGAAATAGCTTCCATGAAGTCTTCTGGGCAGTCTTTGGGATTCTGTAACCACATAGTTCAGCTTGCACTGCACCTATGACACCCATGCTGATCTTCCCTTCGCCGCCTCTCTTTCGATTTCCAGCTCTTTCGCATTCGGAGCTATTTCGAAGGACACCGGTTCCCTGTCTTGTCTTATGCTCACTTCATACAGCCTGTCAACAATGCTTTGGAACCAACTGCGTCGGTTTGTTTTCTGAGAAGCGGAGCATTGTGTGACAATATTGACCTCCGAGATCTGATAGATTGCGGTTACAAAGAAAACAACACGCTCTTTCCTATATCTCCAACAAACCCAATGAGCTCCAAGCGTGTGATCCGCATTGAGATGAGGGAAAGCTCACTGGACATTGCGGAGGAGGCGGTTACTTCCCTTCCTACAGTATCGTATCTGAACCTTTCAAAGTGCCAGACAGTTCCTGAAGCACCATCCAATACATCGCCTTTTACCGCCTCATCTTCTATAGCGCCAACTCGCTTGCGTAGATCTTTCCAAGATTTGTATGAACCGGCTTCTAGTACTTTGTGCAGTGAATCTGGCTCCCTTGATTCTGTTTCCCTATGGCCAACTCCGACACTGGAGTGTTTTCAAAAGGCCTGGCTCCGCCTAGGAAACCTTGCCCGGTTACCTCAGCTTCACTTCCCATCAGTAGACAAATCTGCTTCAACTCTTTCTTTTAGCAACGGTGACGTCGCTCACTTTTCGAGAACTGCCTCTGCAGATACCCTGAACGCGTGTGGTCGTGAAATTCCTATAGAAGTGGAATCTTCCTGTTGGAACAGAGAGACGGATTTTCCCATGGAACCGTTTTTCGATCCCCCTGAAAGTTTTCTCTCTCATCGCCGGGTGTCAAAAAACCATTCCAAATTTCGCCACTCATTCGCTCTGCTTCGTGACTCAACGGACAAGTATACTGACTCTCTGGCTTCTTTGCCTTCCGCGACCCAGACGCCTGGAATTCGCTTGCAGCGTGGCCTCATCTCTCTGGCTTCTGAAACCGCTCCGCATCGCTCTTCTTGGCAAACCTTTTTGAATAAGAGCCATTGGTTATCCCTGGTAACCATCTGCTTGAAACAGGCCACACATTTGGCTGAGTGGATTAGACAACTGGTCATTGATCCTGCAGCCTCCCGTTGCTCAGATACGTACATTATCTTGACGGGCCCTGGAAGCGGTCGAATATGGCAACCGATTATCACCAGTCTCGTGCAGGTAATTTTCCATTTTTTTCCTCACCGATCTTTCGATGTATCGCACATGTCTCAATGGTAGATTGACAGCTATGCAGACCTTACTAAAGTAAATTTCTCCAGTTCATCCGCTGTATGTTGTCGTTATTAATTCTTGTATTTATACGGGATCTAGTTTAAATTTCCAAGCATATTTTCAGAGTTGTTTCAGTCAAGCAATCACGGTCCGAGCACCGAAACGCGGTGAGAACAAATCGCAGTGGTGGGCAGCATGGGAAATAACGCAAAAGAAGGATGCCTGGACAAAGTTGATCTAATTCGAATGGTAACAGCTAGGTGAGGAAGGCGGAATGCAGGTGCACTATCGACTCTAAATGTTCGCGGAACCCTTCACTCGCGAAGACGACACGTACTAGCTTGGTCAAGTCTATCTGTCAGTTTCTTCATGCCCTTCTTCCACATTGCTTACCTTATGGTTTCGCCTATATAGATGCGTCGATAGCGCATACTACACGCCGAAGAAGGTGGCCAGCAGGCATACGGGAGGACTTGGCTTAGCCTGTGTAGGTTTGTCTGTCGGTCACTTGTTACCACTATAGTTACAGATCTGAATTTATATTACTGTCTTATGGGTACGCATGTTATTTGGTATTAAAACCACACCCAACTATGGCACTGCTAGCTTTTTTTTGTCCTGTTTTGCGTTGTCAGTCGACAGTAACTTTCTCACCCGTGCTAACTAGTATCATGTTTTAATGTGGCCACCATTGAACGTTCCGACTGAGTTATTCCTTGAATGTGTCTACATCCACAGTTATCAAAATGTATGAATTCGGACCGTTTGCACTTCTGCCATACATTGCTGTCGACATTTCAATTCTGCACTTTCCCGTATATCTCTAAAAATCCGAACTGGTCTCTACCGAGCAACGCGAGTATTGTGAACATTCACACAAGTGCAAGTTCGCTTGACTGTATTCACCGCCGACGGTAGTCGGTCTACAAAACGGGTTTGATGCAGTCTTTCCAAACACTTGAAGGGGCTGCTTAAAATCAATGGGAACTAGTCCTTTTTGTCGATTGCAGACACCTCGCGGAAAACCACATCACTATCATACTTTCAAACAAATCACCTCAGTGTGTGTATGAAAACGATATGTCTTTCATTGCTTTTATAAACCAACCAAGTAGTACCTAGTTAGATGTAAATGATCAGCACATGTGATATTATTAACGATTGTTTCGGTTTCTAGGTGACCTACCTTGTTCAAGCAGTTAACAACGCATGGATGTACATCAGGTAAGTTGGTGCGTTCAGCCGACGACCAAATGACCTGATGGTTAGGCTACGCTGTCACGTGGTTGTTGTGTCAACTGTGCCATGTGTAAGAAGTTATGGTATCACTCCCACTATGAGCAGTGTGTGCGGTGTGCAGATGCAACTCATGGCAGCTGCTGAATGGGCGGGGGGGGGGGGGTTGCAGGTTTCTTTGTTTTCTTGTTTGTTTGTTTCGCTGTGGTGTCTACGAGGGGGTTTGGGATCTGACTATCACGTGCTGTGATCCCCGTTGATGCCCCCCCCGTAATTACTGTATTTACTTGACTCAACTCCGAAACTAACAACGCTTTCCCATTCCGTTCGACCACGTTGAGTCACAAACACACAGTGGTAGTGTTGCACAGCTAGATGATACCTGCGCATGGATAGCATGATGTTCATTGCTTACCTCAACCCATCGTGTGGCTGTTACATCATAACTGAAAGAAAATCGCCTGTTTAGTTAAGCTACTATCACTCAAATGTTATAGTGATGTCCATTCCAACTGTCATCACTCGCGCACAGGGCGGGAACACATCCAGTAACAACGACAACAATCGATACCACTGCTGGAAATGTGTCAGGGACTCCCTACACTAAATAGCCTGATGAATAGGGGATCTTCGATAACTGCGAGGCAGGAAGCAAGATTAGCATCGATTGAGTCATGTCAGATGTAGCTAATTATTAGCCTCCTCCTATTCACGTATTTCGACTTCATTCGAACGGCGTTCAGTGTCCACGACTAACACATCGCAACGATACTGGACCTTAACGTGGTGCGATGGTTTGCGTGCATCAGCGATCCACTGGGCTATGCTAATTGGTGTTTTTACACCTTCAGAGCCACTCATACCATGTTTGTCAATGATTAAAGTCCTGACAAGCTCAGTCTTCTGGCCCTCTAGTCGGGAGTTGGAGTGAGGGTGGCTCCTTACTTCATACAACGGACTAAGTGTAGTCCGGTGCCAAAACACCGCTACCTTGCTGTTTAGATTTTTGAACAAAGGGTTTGACTGAGAATCCTAATCGTTTTCCTGTCTAGGCCTGGGCAACCTGACAGTATCCTGCCGACATAATACAATGAAATTCTCTTTTAACGATTTTTGATGCTCTCTTGTCACAGAGAACAATCAACAACGCCATATCTGCTACATTGGACAGGGTGGATAGGGTTAAGCATGCTACTGCTTAGGCCTTTCCGTCTTCTTCCCTCTTACTATTTTTCATCCTTACCGTCCCAATGCAACTTCACTTCTATCCCCCTGTTTTTAACTCCTTAATTCTTGGCTCTCCTCGATCTTGCTTTTACCTTCATTTCTCTTTTAGTTTCAACTCACGCGTTGTCGCGGGGCGTCTCTTCGGACCAGTCGACAAGTCCATGTCCAGACAGACAACGTCAGTTCATCTGCTTCTATTTGGAGCCGTCGATCCACCATAAGACTGGCATGCCTCAATGTGCGCGCTTTGTTGCTGTTTGGCCAACAGGCAGCACTTGCCCGGGCACTGGAGACCCTATCAATCGATGTCGGCGGCTTATCAGAAACTCGCCTGCAAGATTCGAGTTATCTGATTATCTTGCGATCCCCAACGTGCTGTATTTTCTAGTTGTACTTACCCGGAATGGATGCGGCTTCAAATGCTGGTAAAGCTAGTGCAGGTATTGCTCTAAGTACCTCGGCTGTAGCTCTTTTGATCGATTGGATTCCGGTGAACAGCCGGATGTGCGCTCTCATTGGCTGGCTCATTCAAAGCCCCGAAGTCGCGCGGGGACGAACGCTGGCTGTTTTTCATTGCGGTGTACGCGTCCACAAACCGTGGCACTGACTTGGTGAAAGATGAATTCTACCACCAACTAAACGAGCACCTTCGTTACAGGAAATGTGCGGATACAGTGGTGCTTTTTGGATGCCGAAGTTGGAAAATTGTCCGTTAATGAGCTGTATATGTGAAGGCAATACAGTGTCGGCTCCCGTAATGATAACGGTGGGCGGTTGCTACACATGTGTGAAGATTCTCGTCTCTTTCTCGTGAGCACTAACTTTCGACACAGTACCCGCAATAGCGATATGAAGCCCATCAGCCTTGGACCAACCATGTACGCAAGTCGATCACGTCGCGATCAGTTACCGTTGAAGGGGTTGCGTCCAAAACTACTGCTCGACTTGGAACACGAGCGTCGACTTCGATCACGCACTCATATTGGGCGGCCTGCGAGTACGTTTTGGCAGACGCCCGCAACGACGCTGTGAGCGCAACTGGCGAAGCCAAATGTTCTGAATGCGTATCAAAGTGCACTAACTTCTGTGCTGAGTAAGCGCTCTCCGAACACAGTAGAGGGCCACTGGTCACATATTCACCAGACGTTATTAGTAGCAGGCATGTTTTCATGTGGCAAATCAAATCGTCAACCTGGACATTGGGTTTCTATGCAGTTTCTAGTGGTTTTACATGCTCGCCGTCGTACTCCGGATGAAAGCGAACACGAGACTCGCAAAGTTCTCAAGGCGCAACTGCGTGCTAGCCTGAAAAGAGACCGCGAAGTCTGGTGCTGTCATCGTGCTTCGGAGGTGGAGGCAGCCGGTGCGCCTGGTAACCGTAATTCATTCCGTTAGATAAGGGAAACGAGCCGCAGGATGCCTGGCAAACATAAAGAGACGAGCTACGTTTGGTCTTCGCAACTTAGCTCTAGTGGAAACACCGCGTAAGCAATGTGCGTGTTCAGTGCAGGAAGAGCGAGTGAACCACACAACACCGTTATATCAGGCACCATTCTACGATGGCTAGGCCACGTGTTGCTCATATCAGCATACTGACTGCCGCTTGGTGCGTTGTTTGCGCGCCCGGGTTTGTGTATGGAGAAGAGGCCAAGCGATGAATTGGCCAAGACCCTCACTACGAAGTTGGCGTCGGTTGGTGTCTCGACTGCCGCGCCAGGATCGGGGGGACAATGAGCACGTTTGGTTGGATACAGTGGTTGACATGGCGAGGAGCCGTTTGCGATGGCGTTGGTGTCTCAAGTTTCTTTGTCCCTCTCGGTTATTTTTCCCTCCAACCACGTTCTCACACGTTATACTTAATATGACATTGAGGATTATATAACGGTTTAGGTTTTGTAATGTATTCTGTGGTGCCCTGCATCTCGTTCTTTTCGTACAGATATTTTTATTGAGACACATTAGCTGAAGTGTGTTTATTACCTCCAGCTAACACGTATTCATAATGATTGTGATGTCTTCGAAACAGGCCGTTATTACTCCACCACATATCGATACTTTGTACACATATTGCTAGCTGTCATGAAGTATGAAACAGCCCATCTCAATTAAGCCGACTGAAAAGGTCACAAGAGACCCAGTGTCGAAGGTAGACGCACTGATAGTAGCGGTTAGAACCAGCAACTCTGCACTTCGTCAGTGCGACTACAACCTGTTCGTTGCGTGGATACAGGACGGCATCAGTGCGCGGCTTCATTCTGTCTTTCACTGTCCGGTGCTATGTTTAACCTCAATCTGCAAATAATTCGACACTTTTAATTGAGATAACAGCAAAATTGCTCTCATACCGGCTGCAAGCCCCTGTTCTTTAAAGCTTCGAGCCAAGTATAAGATCGGTCGCATGGACCACACTTTTGGACCTGACACGGACCACAGCCTTGTACCCAGTAACTTCACTTCTTTTCAAGTCAATGCTTGCTTCCCACTAGTCTTGTGTTATCCAGCACGAGGCAAGCGAAACAAGTCTCTCGGTAGGCGGTGAGAGGATATACTCGGCATCCGCTCGGATAACAACACAATTTCGTCGCATTTCACACTGTTCGACCTGATGTTTGGTTTGATAAATCCAAGCGATTCTATTATTCATCTTTTTAATTACTGTATCATTCACTGTAGCTTCATGTACTGCCGAATGATTCTGTTATTTTCCTTGGCATCAATCTTTTCTATTCGCTTGTCTCTCCGCCCAGCAGCGCTGCCGACCTCTTTCCGTTTTAGCGTTTCGGAGACACTTAAACTGATCACCCACTTCCAGTGAACTAATTTAGGTTTCGGGTGAAGGAGCTGCAGAGCAGGTCAACTTTGCTGTTCGTTTGAATTGATTTTGTCAACAGCCTGTTGGCCCGCCATTGGCAACTACTGTTCCGGCCTTGATCGATGTGGTTCGCCCATGAGTTTCCTTCATCCGCAAGTACTCTCGAATTTGGACGCTTCTGGACTGCAAGCTTTTTTGTGATCGACAAGGCATGGCCTGTATCAAAGTGTTGCTTCAGAATGACGGACACTCGCTTTAACGTACGCCATTTTCAGTTGCTGACACCATAGGCATTCAAGCTCCAAACATGTATCATGTGGTGGATATCGGATGACGCGTTTCCACTGCTATGATTGCACTCCGCGCTAAATTAATGAGGGTTTGCCATTATCCATACAGAAAACATCTTCCCATTCACTTCGATAAGCGCACGGCTTGAGAAGAGACCACATTGCCAATATTCCTGCCCATATGGGTGATGGAGAATTGGCGGCCAGGCTCTTCTTTGTCAGACTACAATATGCGACCTACACAGGTGCAAACGGAACGAATAAAAAGGTAGCTTGCCTTCAGCCCATTGTCAGTCTACTCGGATGCTGATTGCTAGTCGAATCGCGCATATCCACTGGGGTTTACTTGCGTGAAAAACCCTTCACACTTAGGCGAACTGCTACTCCCACATCGTATAGACTTCGAAACATTGACGGGATATCGGAGTTGGAATCAGGTGGCCAAAGTCCCATCATCCCGCCGCAGGGTGAAACTAACATTATCGTTTGATTTGTTCGATGTAGTATGTGTATGTTACACTAACCACTATTCACTGGGACCTTTGATCCAAAGAGAAGTTTACCAACACTCTTAATGTTGATTGCGAAGTCAGCAACGGCGTCTTGCTCGTATGCCTGAAAAGAAATAACTTGCAAGACAAGGAAAGAAAGTGGATGCTGGAAGTGCATGCACTGCTATCAAGCGTTACTCTACTATAGGCATTCCGAGAGAAGCAAGTTTCATTTGGAATTCCACACACCTCTTTGTTCAGTCTACCCCACCCAGAATCCTTGGCCTAGTAATTTGACTCATAAGGTAGTTCTTGGCAGGCCCAACTCCCCTAACGCTGGAGCTCAGCAAATGAAATTTCTTGACTTTTCTTTCTTCTGATGCGCTTGCATCTCGTACTTCTGAGTGCGTGCCAAGCTTTTTAACTTGACACCAAACTGCACAACGATTTCGATCTATTGCTTTGTTTTCTTCGGACCGGATCTCTGTCTATTTAATTGGATTTTTATCTGCATTCCTCTACACAAAGGGACCGAAGCACCCCGCAGCTGGTCCGATGTTTGTGCCTCGTGGTTAAGTGACTTAGTGTACAGACACTGTGTTCCGTTGTCTATGCATTTAGTCTATACACATATGTCTCGCTTGAGTTAAATTGTTTGTCTCGAATATAACCGTTTATGTCGATGATGATGATCACTTAGAATACTAGTTAGCTAACGAGAGTCCCTGACTTGTGTATGCGAGTTCGGCATCACCTAAAGGCGACCTTAATATACTCAACCTCCGCCTAACACTCAATTATCGTCGCTTTTTAGTTAAGGGCGATCAAAAACCGCACGTTTCTATTTGCTGTGATTAATCTATGTCCAGCGACTGTGATGCACAAACCAGGGCCACCATCTCCAAATCGCACTAATCTTATCGTCGGCCGGTGGCCGAGTGGTCTACACGCCTGGCTTGCAATCATAATGTCATCGGTTTGAATCCACGTAGGGGTGGGCGTCGTCGCGGTATACTCAGCCCGCGCGCGACTGGTGACGGTAGCGAAGCGTCGTTACAGCGTAAAGCTGACATATTATTTATTCTATTACCAATCTTATCGAAAAGACACTTGTCGCTCACTGCTCCATGACAGGTTTTCTTTTTATGAAAGACTCTTTGTTTCCTAATTTTGGAATGTTAAGATTTCCCCTTGCATCAGCAGTCTGCGTCTAAAAATCTGGATTTTCCGTCCCTGTTGCTTTACTAGGTACATGTTCCTCTCCCTAGCGACTGGGGTTTTCGCACTCTGTTCTTCCACCTACTGTAATCATCTGTTGGACAAATACAGACTTTCTCCGTTCAATTTACCCGTTCTCTTGGCTCAGATCATTCTCCGACCTGCCACTCGTACTTTATCAGGCTTTGAAGATCTCATCGAATGCGAATGGGTTCGCCTTGGATATCCTTTTGCGCCGGATCCATCGGACTGGTGTGATCGGTCGGTTGCGGATGAATATGATGGTGGCGCGAGCTTCGGTCTATTCATCGATTGCGTTCACCAGCTTATGTACCAGTTCCCGGTGGATTTTGCTTTTACCGAGGTGAGGATAATGATTTGTCTGAGTCTGCATATGTGGGGCGGCCACTTGAATGTCTCCTCTGCTGCTCTTAATCAGCCCGTGCGGAGTGACTTGGGCTTCCCGGCTCGCGTGTGGGGCAATATTTCCCAGCGCTACGAGTTTTTACGTGAATTGATTATCCCACTGAGGAGTAGATTACACACTGCTTTGAAGCGTGCTCATACGGCCTGGCCATCTAACAGTGTTTTCTCTTTTTTCCTTCTCAAAGGACTATCTGGTACTCTTGCTGAACACCGCACTGAGTCGAGGAGGAGGTCTACCTCCGTTTGCCATCGAGTTTTCCTGCTCCTGTGAGGCAGCCAGATGTGTGAGCATGAAAGCGAAGTTGTTACCTGAAGTGCAGGAACAGTCAGACATGCTGTTCAAAGGAGAGGTGCTACGCTGTTTTCGTGACTGGCCCGATGTGCTCACCCTCAACGGACTCCGATTAATAGCAAACTGGTGCTATTGGTGGCATGTGAGTTCCGCATTCATGTCCTCGCACTCTGGTCCCCTTTGCGGTATTGTTGGGTTTATTTCAGTGCGACTTCGACTTCAACGCTGGCCTGTAGTATACATCTGGAACCTGTCCTGCGGGTATAAAAGGGCCAGCCGCCCAGCCTAGGTTTACACTGCTCCCGGTGGTGACGCGGTCACGCCATAGCGTGTATGATTTACCGCTGAATGTGTGAAAAGTGATGTTTATTCCTAGCGAGTGACTATATCATGTTGGAGAGGAGCTGTCTAAAGGACGTTGTTGATCATGATTATTAATCTTAGGTGGTAATTTTATCTACATATGACGCACCATTTGATATCGTGTAGCACTGCCAACCGACTAAGTACCAGAAACAGTTATCGAAGTCATCTAGCATTGGATGACTTGGCTTCATAGAGTCCAGCTGGTTTTGTTATGGTTGCGGATAGCGGCCTCAGGTCGGTTATTTTAGACTGTGTTGACAAGATCACTTTGTGTTGGATTTCTTCATTCGTTGAAAGTATTTCGTGGGAATTTAGATACAGTTCAGTTTCATTTCTGATTCTGAATTTTTTGAACGAAAATACATTTTCGCCGCTTAGTTTCGGCGATCTTGCTATCGCCATTTTCTCCAGCAATTGGTCAACATTTTGTTTTCTGATTATTCACAATGTCGAAGCAATCATCCTGTGGTACTTGTTCCAAGTTAGTCGGATACCGTGCAAATGCCTTCACGTGTGTTTTGCGCCAAGTTAAATACCACATTTCATGTGTTGGATTAACAGTTGAGCATTTTCCTCGTCTTCATGAAATCCAACACGATTTCGTTCAAATTTTATGCGAAAATTGCCGAAACAAAGTACCGTCAGGAAGAATAAAGCCGACGTGTAGGCTTCATCAATTGTGTTGCGAACAGCTCCGTGTGTTTGGCCCAACAACCTAGCCCGAAGAGCCTTCAGATTTCAACTCAGTCTTCCTTATCTAACCGTGCAAACTCATCGGCATGAAATCGTACCGTTGTGAGAATCCCAGTTTCACCTGGCGTAAATTGTTCACCTTTGTTGTGTCCAACGAGCACTGATGTCCCAGCAGGTGAAAGCCTGAGTGCTGAAGACCAGTGGAAAGAACAAAGAACGAAATTACGAAGGTTGTTGGGCGTTTAAGTTCTGTAAGTCAACAGTTGGCCAAATCACGTGAGGCTGGTATTATACTTCGCTCTGTAAGGTCAGCCTCCTCCTACCAGATGCGTCATAACCTCGTGATCTTCCACGCGCCGATGTTCAAAGATCCATCACCCCAAGTGCGCTACGATCACGATGTCGAGTTTTTACAGAGCCTAATTAACAGGCTCCTTGAGGCTGATGAGGACTCGGTAAAAGTGAGGCAAATTACCATCTTGGAAAACAAGGTGATCAACAAAATCGGCCTATGGGAATCACTTTTGTGGACGAAGAAAGTCCAAGACTAATCTTGTTCCGCCTAAGTAGGCTGAAAGGTTTGAAGATCCATGTTCTTCCAGACCTGGACCCAGTAGACCGGGAACGGCCCAAATCTGCCATCATTCAGCTGAAAAGACGTAGTGGTGAGGAGAAAACAAATCTCCATGTCGTAAATTTTCTGGTGGTTTCCAAGAAGCTGCGAATCAGGATAAACAGGTTGTTCACACTTCAAGTACGCCCGGCGGCTCCTGCTGCGGCCTGCAAGTAGCCTTCACAAACGTTTGCAGTGTTATGAACAAACGCGATGAGTTTTGTTGTTTTATTGCGTCTGAGCGGCCAGACGTAGTGGGACTCTCAGAGACATGGCTGCATTCATGGTTATACACTCAGAAGCTTGAACTCAAAGGTTACTCGTGCTTCTGCTGTAATAGACTAACGAATGCCCGCGGTGGTGTCTTGCTCTACATCCGGTCTTCCCTGCGTGGGAGATTTGTGAGAACTTCACGAAGTGACGTTGGTTTGTGTGAGCTGCTGTGGTGCTCCATCCACCTCAGGTGCGGAGAACTACTTGTGGGCGCAGTCTATCGCAGCCCCCCTGGGTCGCTGTTTGGATTAGCTGCCCCATCTTCGAACCCACATGAGTCGTCCACACTTTCTATTTATGGGCGATTTTAACTGTCCTCGAATACGATGGCCTGATGTGCATGTGATGCCTGGACATAGTGAGGTTGAAGAAAAGTTCGTGGATTTGATACTTGAAACTGGTGCATCGCAACACATATGCCAGACAACACGCATAACACCAGGCTCAACCCCGTCCTGTCTCGACCTGATGTTAACGAGCTACGAACAACGAGTGCGGGACGTTCGGATCTTGGAGCCCCTGGCTAAAAGCGACCATTCAGTTCTCATAGCTGATATGGAATTACCTTTGCCGTATTCACGTCCACTGGAGCCAGCTTACAACTACTGGAAAACGGACTTCGACCGTTTAGCTCGAGCCGCGAGCCAACTGGATTGGTCTCTGTCACAAGCTGCATCTTTGGAAGATTGTTGGATATTTATAAAAGAAAGATTGACATCATTGTGTTCCCAATTTGTGTCATTACAATGTTGGAAGATTGGACCGATTAAGCCTCATTGGTTTGACAAGGAGTATGGAAATTTGGCTCGGAGGCGGCACAGACTGTGAGACAAGTTCAACCTCTCTGGCTCTGCCAATGATTACGAAGGGCATCAAAGTCAGCGGAACCACTGCAGGAGTTCAAAAAGGAATAAGCGTCGACATTTCGAAGAGCAGCTCGCAATAGCCGGGAATACCGCCCTAAGGAGAATATTTACATACATGAAGCGACTCCTGAAGCCGGCAGGTGATGTGCCAGTGCTGGATGGCCGTGACATACAGCCCTTAACCTCCAGCACTGAGCGTGCGTCCGCATTGGCTGCGTACTTCACTTCTGTATTTGCAAATGACTACGTGTCCGTCCCGAGTTCGACGTGTACCGCTTTTACCGAACTCGACAGGCTTTATTGCGGTGTCGAAGAATTAACTACTCGCTAGCCTTAACGGCACCAAACCTGCCGGACTTGATGGTCTTCACCTACTGATTCTCAAGTCACTTTCAGCCATCATCTCTCATCTCGTGACTGACATTTTCAACAGATCGCTGTCCGAAGGTCCGTTGCCAATTGCCTGAAAATGTTCGGTGGTGAAGCCTATTCCGAAATGCGGCGACCTTAGCAAAGTAGACACCTACAGGCCAATTTGTCTGACACCTATTCTGGCAAAGGTTGCCGAGAAAATAGTAAAAAGGGATTTATTGTATTTGCTACAGTCGAAAACGGTCCTGACGTCCGCACAGCACGATTTTATGCAAGGCCGCTCATGCATTACAAACGCTTGTGACGAGCCATGAGTGGTTGAAGTCAACAACCAAGGGGAAGTCTGCCGACGTGATATTCGAAGGATGTTTGTGAGTAACGTAAGTATCGTAGAAGGCAGAAGTCACGATTAAACTTCACACGAAAATCTGCCTCGACGGGGAATCGAACCCCGGTCCACGAATTTCCGGTCCGCTGCTCTACCACTGAGCTACCGAGGGCTGACGATTAGGTGCGGAATTTAACACGTGACTTCTGCTTAGTGCGCGACGTATTGCCAATGAGCTCACAGTAACTGTCCTGGTGTTGCAGATCGGCTCACTCACTCGTCACTTCCCAGTGGACCGAAGTAACTGTCCACTTGCAGCATCTTGTCACCATAGCAGTATGGCTTCGGTGAATACCAGTTATGCACCACTAACCTGCTGATGCCACAAAGTAGTTGGACGGAATAAATAAATAAAGTTTTGTTTCCGACTATGAGAGATACGTCATTAGAGACATGATCGGTTGGTGTTGGGGCCGGAATCGACCTGAATTTTTCCAAAACTTTCGACCTGGATACTCGCATCCTGCATCACATGCAACAGAGCTATGGAATTGAGGGTCATGTCTGGGTGGACTGCCAACTTTCTTCACCAACACGGGCTTCAAGTGCGTGCTAGGGGACCACTATCCAATCTGATTGAGGTGGAATGCGGTGTCTCACAGGCTCGATCCTGGGACCGCGTTTATCGCCTCCGATTTTATGCCTCTCACCAATGAGGTTAAAATTTGACGAACGATTAATAACTATGAAGATCACGATTTCTACGTGCGACCGCATATAGGCGGCAAGCAGTAGTCTATGGCGCTTGCGGAGGGACTTCATAATGATTTACCATATCATAAAGAACACAAACCACATTTGCCGTCCGGTTCTGGAACTGAACCACAACACCAACCTAAGAGGTCATCATTTAGAGCTGGAATACCGAAATTTCTCACTTCGAGTGTGTCACTCGTGGGACGCGCTCCCAGCTTATGTTGTCTCTGCCCCCAATCTACGATATTCAATAAACAACTCGACGAAGCACTGCCCCATTTCATTTTATAACTAGGAGGCTACATAACGCAAACAAATGGTATGTTTCCGAAGTTCTAACTAGCTGGATTTATACACATTGTCATGTGAGCATCTCGCCTCTTTTACGCATGTCTCAATGTATAGACTATGGCGAGTTCACCAAAAAGCGGTTTATTTTGTTATCACCTTTTCTCTTCGCCAATCTTTTCATCCCACGGGATTGGATAAGCACTGTATTTTTCCCGTAATACATCATTGTTCCATAATAAAACGTTTACAATCAGATTACTCAACTCAATACACACCGTAGCAACTGAGTGAGAAGCCCGTGGGTCGCGTTGCGTTGCGAGGCCAACACAGTCAGAACGCTGATGAGGTTTTTAAACTGTTACTGTTGATTTAACTGACATGATCGCAGAGTACTGGTTGTGTCACACTGTAGTACCTTACGGGTGCCGAGATGGGATGGTCTCGACACTGCGCCATCCTGTGCCCCGTCGATTGACTAGGCAGGTCAGTCTGTCTTGGTTCAGCCGAACCACTACTTATCATCGTTTTGTTTCGGCAGCTAGAGTATATCCCATTTTTGCGCAACAGTTGCTGTTCACGGGTTTCGCGGACATTTTGTCTGCGGTGCATCGACAGCCATTTTGTTCCGGGCAACATTTTGCAGAACGCCTGCACATTCTTCCCAGTTAGTTCTTTATCAAGTAGGACGTGAACCGCTAATAAATGCACCTCTGTCCAAACTGTACTTATGACAACATGTGACCATGATACTGCAGCTATGCTGTTCTTTTTATTTCATTTAAACTATCCAGTATGCAACTGAGGGCTCTGCATCCCAGTCAGTGGAACTGTTCCCGATCACCTGCCCACCAGCGTACCCGCGGTGCTGGATTTACGGCTGGTTCCGTTGGATCCGTGCTCTTAGGCACTCCGGCGGTGGTGGATACGCTTTTGATGCCGCATGGTTTCGTGACTTACTCGATCCAAGCTCTAAACGCACCACACCCTCCTCTCTTCGACCGAAAACGAGCTGCTCTCCCTACACTGGTTGGATGTCCGACGAGGCGATCTTGAATGCCGAATCTCTGAATGACACAGCTACGTTGGATCTCATGAACTCTGCGTTCATCAAACGATTCATCAACGTGTTAATTCAGTGGGAGCGTTCGCTCGGTTGAGATATGCTTCTGTTCTCAGACCCTTTGAGAATCTCATTCCACTCATTTGCATTCTTTCCACATACACACGCAATCAGCCCTATTTTTGTGTTTGAGCGCCCAATTCAGTGCTTTGGCTAGGACACCGATTATTCAATTTATTGATGCTTTCAGTTTTTCTTATTTCTTACTTTTATCTGTATGCTTTTTGTCATGATTTTCTCTGGTGACTTTCCAAATCCATTACGTCAGAAAACCATTATGGGTAACGGTTCATTCTTTTCTGTATAAACTGTCTAGCGTCTCCAGCTCGGACACTGTAAAGGCCACTCACCATATGACACTCAGATGCGTTATGCTGTGTGGAGTGAATCTACCGTCGTGAACTGCGACACACCCCTTGCCTTAAATAAGCATCGTGAAAAAGTCCCTCCCATCATTAGCTTACAGCGAACTCTCGATCCATCCGTGTATTGACGATAATTGCTACTCACGATGGCGATAAATTACGCGGATCTCATTGCATTCTCTGCTCCCATGGGGTTCGGATAGCTTGCAAGTACTCGCGGATGCTGCTAACGTCATTTAACTTCGCTTTTTGCTGATGATGGTTTTCCACTGGGACTTTTTTATCATATAAATTATCATCTCTTGTCCCTCGCCAGCAGCGGGTTATAGTTCATGTAGCTGCTGACATCCCTCGATTTATACCCCATCCCATTGTGGGTCTTAGAACATCTGCGAAGTCCGTAACCGGTACTCTTAGGACTTGAGAAGCAAAATTCATGCGTCTGTTGCTCAGGATCGAATCACCGAACCGACGCACGACTTGGGTAGTAAAATCATAGTGGGCAGAATAATTTGTACCGTTAAACCGTGGTTCCATAGGCGTATGTACATAGATTGGCAGCATCCGTGTCCGGATTTGGCTGTCACTGTGGCCTCCATAAAACAGACACAAAACGCCTGCGCTTACAGAGGGACCATGGGTGGCATGCGCTGCACCACCCACCCCTTATAACCGGTATAAACCCGGAGGAATGAGACCAAGAAACATGCGGATGGGAACTACGTTTCATCAACAGAACCGGCCCACATTCCCTCATAAGCAGAGCAGAAGCACTCATGCCTAATTAGGAAATCATGCACATCAGACATACACAAGGCGATGGCTGGGCCGTATTCCGCTCCACACTGATTGGAACCACTCTTTAAGCCTAGCACGGCCACAAGGATCGTGCACACCGTCCGCCCAGCACAGATTCACAGTTTCCTGGAGACAGCAGTCGATGTGGAGGGTGTTAGAGAGGTAGGCACCTTGTCAACGTTCACACCGGGCGCATCAACGCCGGGAAGATCAAACAACAAACACAGAAGTCGAAGGGAAATAAATGCGCAAAATTGACAAAATATACAGCAGAATAACAGAACTGAGCGAATCAAATAAAGAATAATACATATTATCCAAGTGAAGTGTAAGTCCATATAGCCCAACTGCAGTGAAGAAGTATGATGTATGCAGCATCAATGTTAGCACGAGGCACCATAGGAATACGACGTAGGAATAATGACAAGCAGTGTGAGGCAAATAACATTGGTACAGTTACAAGTGAATACTCGCAAATAGATTATTCAACTCGCGAGTTCGGGAAGCAGTAAGCAATTACGTTCAACCGGCGCAATACGCGAGTAAAACAAGGGACATCTAGGGTTTGTTTAGATTACAGCATGATGCTAATCAAGCGAGGTTACGAAACGAACTCTTATGCATAAACGTAGATTTGTCAGTCCGTTGTTTGAGTTGTACGTCTCGGCGGACAAAGAGCGGAAAACATGTGTGGTGCGATTGATCAAGAAATTAGGTACCACAGTGAATTATTCGAATTTGCAATTCATTACATTACCAGCGCAGCTAGTCTACGGCTGCACGCTGCGTTTGCTTGGACAACTGGTGACACCAGCACCGTCTACTTCCTCCTTTGACTACGGAAGTTACACCGACTGATTGGCTTGGGGAATGCATGAGCCATGTCCGCCTGCTCCTCGATCGCAGAAGACAACAGTGCACGTGCCCGAGAACCTGTCTACGTGTTTACACGTCCTCTGCACAAACGGTGTTAGGCAGCCTCTTCAGTCGCCGTACGCAGGACCATTCTAAGTGCTACGCCGTACAAATAAGACGTATACCATTGACCGCGGTGGCCAACACGAAGTCGTCACCATCGATCGCCCCAAACTAGCTTTCATCGACGAAGACACTGAGGCTATGGCTACTTCGAACGCTTCATGACACTAAGAATAATCGCGCTACGTTATAAACACGTAGCATTCCTGCAGTGAGTACCAATTTAGCCTCACAGGATAGGGACGTTCCGAAATCATCGTCTACTGCGAGCCTGTCGCCTTCTACGACCAACCGCCGTGGTGGGGAGGTCCGTAAGCCCGTTCGTTTTCTCGACTATATCAGTGTAAATACGTTTAGGTTTGTAAATATTGTACATAGTTTCCCTGTTTTTGGTTGATTAACGTTTTGACAAAGTCAAAATCTTCTGAAAAACTTTGTAAGAAAAATCTAACATTTTTTCACGCAAGTCATTCGTTCTTTCCTTTTGGTGTGTTCCGTGTGTCTTTCTGTTTTCTCGTCTCCACATGCCCCAACACTCCCCTTCGATCGACTGGGCCACACGAGTAACGATTTCGAATATCGCCGCAGTCAATGAGGATCCGGACGCGAACGCGGGTCATTTCTTAGTGGTACGAGGGTCGTTTTGGCGCGAGGCTGGGGGAGGCCACTCCAAAGCGCACCGTTTGGTAGCGGCGAAGGTTGAGGTCCTGTCGGCTAATTTTCCGGGGCAGCCAGTTACTTGTGAAGCGTGACAATCCCGCTCCAACGGTTCGCCGAAATGTGCCGTCCTGAAATCAACAAATTATAACTAACAAACGATACGGCGGATCCTAACTGTTGGCTGCATCCATTTCCGAACACGAACCGAGGTTCTCTTGTTTACGCACACATTTTACGAACTTCGATTCACAACCATTTTTGATTCCAAAGGCTTCTCTTTTTCAGCCTACTAGGAGGGGAGCTCTACAAATTTATTGTTTCTCAAATAGGCTTTTGATTTAATACCTTTCCTACGGCCAGTTTTACCTAGGTCCGGTTCACCACTCGTCTGCTCTGTAAGTTATCGTGCTCACGTTCGCTCCTGTTTCGCTTTAAACCTTCACGTCTTTTGTAACCCCTCGAATATACTCCGCTGCGTCTGACTTCATTTGCCTTCTGATATCTGCGCTCGGTTACGCGCATCGGCTCGGAATAGTATTATATATATATATATATATATATATATATATATATATATATATATATATATATATATATATATATATATATATATATATACTACAACCGTCTACTAATAGACATAGAGCCATCAGAAACCATGGGACTAAAAAGAAGGTACAGAAATTGTAAAAGTAAACACATCGGAGTCCATGGTTTCGTCAGAGGGCGAGATACCACCCGTTTGCCCAAGCCGAAGTAGGGTGTTGACTTAGGGGACAACACTACGAGCCTTTGGCCGAATAGCCTGCCCCCAAGGCAGGGGAGCGAATTCAGGGAATCGCGCCCATTGGGAGCCAGTGACTGGTTGCTCAGTTCATACGCCTTTCGTTTGTCAAACAGGGGCCCAATGCTACCCAGAATTACAGCATACAGTTGCTGGAATACAATGGCTTCGCCAGTATGAAGCAAGGGGCAGTAACTTTATTTAGTGGCGAGTCACATCCGCCACGTCACAGTGTTATTAAACGGACATATGTGTGGGAGAACGCTTGTCAGGCGAAAAGCCACCACATCCTGCAACACCGCCGCCGAATCATTTACTGGGGCGGGAAAATCCCGAACCACCCAGCTGGAACCACGAGGTTATTCGGCAAGCAATGGTATTAACTAGTCTTACAGCTTCTGCCAACAAATCTGGTGACGTGAGTACGTTTGGCGAAATAATTCTTTAGCGAGAATACTAGGGAAGATCAAATATCCATAGATCTTACAACGGCATTTTACGGTTACTATAACCGAAAGTATCGCTGAAATTGAGGAAGCAGATACGGTGCGGATTTGCTCTTACTGTCTAGTGGCAACTAAGTGATTAACATGTTTATCACTGCACACCTCATCATTGCGGACACGCTGGTGTCATCCGACACCAAGAGTACTTCGCAGACAAAGGTGCTGCAGGTCCTCGGATCGGAGGCCGAGGCTCACTCGCGTAGAGTAGGACGGCTCTCACTGTGGCCTTGTAAACACGTTCTTTCAGATCGGGAGAAACCCCTTTCTGACGCAAATTCAAAAAGGAGGTTCTAGCTTTTTCAATATGTGAATTGACTTCAGTCGTTATGCGCCCATCATTGACGGTGCAGCTGCCAAGGTAGGTGAAGTGACCACCTACCTCATGTCCATCGCTATCAAGGGTCAACGGATCGTCTGGTGGTCCTGCAACAATATTTTACGCTTTATCATTATACGCATTAGCCATAGGTGGAAAACAGCTGTTGTGTCAGAATACAAAAGAAAAATACATACAACATTGCGATGCCGGTTGAGTCACCAGTAACGGATGAACATCGATCCGGAGAGCTAACAGCCGCTTATTGTGCCGCGAAAAGAAGTTGTATTATGCCTAATACATGAGATCATATTTGGAGGGAGGGACAAAGAAGCATCTCAAACGTCATTGAAGTTGGCTCCTAACCATGTCAACAGGTGTATTTAGCCGACGTGTTCGTCGTCTTTTGCTTTCCCACCAGTGAAACTGGAAGCTCCAACCGAGGCCAACTTCGAAGTAAGGGACTTCATTCCTCTTGATCGAGTCATCGCTCGACCATCCCTCCTTTCCTTTCATCCGCACCCCCAGCGAGTAAACGACGCACGTCGCTGAGTCGGTGTGCTGGCATGCGCAATGTCCCAGCCATCGGAGCTTAGTGCGAGAAATAACGATGTTGAGCGATTCGTTTCTTCCTACGCCATAAATAAGGCGTCGAACACACTCACTGCTCACACGGTGTTCCCACCAGATATGATCTAAGGTGCGAAGACGCCGGTGGTCGAACTTAACGAGCCTCTTTATGTCGGCTGATCTAATGGACCAGGTCTCACAACCGTACAGCAGGGTCGAACGTACGGCTGCATGGTACACTCTACCCTTCAAGGATAGAGTGATGTCGCGTCTGCAACATGGGTGGCGAAGGTTAGCAAAAGCGTCTCGTGTTTTTGCTATACGGTTTGTCACCTCGTCTTCAATTCCAACAGCACTGATACAACGGCCTAAGTAGTTAAACTTTTAAGTAACTTCTAGTTGATCTCCAATAGGAGTCAGCGCAGGAGACGGTCCCAGCCAATCTGTGAGAAACGTTTTGCACTTAGAGGATGCAAA